TCACCTATTACTTGTTCTGTTTTGTATCTTGGAACGGAGAACAACTCATGCAACTCTTCAGAGGCTGTGTTAGCTGTAAATGGGGGTACGATTGGAGGTAAGAGGCTTCTCCTCTGAACTCTCTGCATAGGGCAGCCTCCCCAGTTGCCCTTGTATCTCTGTTGTAGTTCCAGCTTCTACCAGCCCTGGATTTAATTTCCATCAGCCTAGGGGTGGTAGCTTCCTGCTGCTGCCAGAGTTCCCATGTGTTTCCTCAACATCTCCATCTTCTGTGTCAACATGTGCTAGAATTAAGGTTAAATACATAGTTGATTTCTGCTTCTCCTATTGAACCCTGACATCATGTGTTTTTCTTCTTTTGCTCTAATGTCAATTTCTAATGTTCAAGCAGGGGAATTATCAACTCTATTCCACTTCTTCCTTGTTATGTATGACACGAAGGAAGGGTTGGATGTATAGAATTCCATAGATCTTTCAGATCTCACTTGCCTAGTGGTTAAAGCCTTGGACACTGGCACCAGACAGGCTGGTGTTGACTCTCAGCTCCTGTGTTATTTATTCACTAACTTTGTGATCTTTCCCAAGTTTTCTGACCTCTCTAAGCTTCAGTTTCCTTTATCATCTGATACAGAGATGATAACTTGCTTACTTTGTATGGTTTTGATGACTGAATAAAATAATATGCTCAAACTAGCCAGGGCATTGTTTACGTATTGTATTCTGTAAGGGAAGCAATTATTAATTAGAAACTCTCTTTTTCATAATATCAGTCTTTGTGGTTGGTATTAGTGATGTCAGGAGACCGAAAAGATGTGTGCACTAGCATTTGCTAATGTTTTATCCTCAGAAGGTACTTAACAGAGTTGTTCATTTGAAGGGGCAAAATGTGCTCCTTGGGCCCAAAGCAAATGTGGTAAAATGTTCAAATGCTGCTGTACCTCAGTATATGCTACTATATCATTGTTCCTTGATATCTGCTGGAGATTGGTTCCAGGTTCCCCTTTCCCTTCCCCATACCACAATCTGAGGATGCTCAAACCCCATATATAAAATGGTACAGTATTTGTATATAACCTATGTACATCTTCCTGTGTACTTTAAATCATCTCCAGATTATTTATAATATCTAGTACAAGCACTATGTAAATAGTTGTTATATTGTATTGTTTAGGGGATAAAAATAAGATAAAAATCTTTGCACATTCAGAACAGATACAATCTCTTTTTAAATAACTTCAGTCTTTGGTTGGTTGAATTTTTGTATGTGGACTCCCAGGTACAGAGGGCTGAACATGCCTTGTCCTGCTATGGCACTGACCTTACTTTTAGGCCTATTGTCCATTGCTGAACCTATATTTATTCTGGATTAAGATATATCAAGAAAAGAGTGGGGCTGGTTGTTATTAATATTATTTGGTGGGTAGATTGTCCTGTTCTTAGCCCTGCTTTGGAGAATTAGTTTCCAAGAGCTAGTGGGGGTCTAGGCTTACTGGTATCTGTCCTGCTTTATTCTACCACTCTATCTTCTTGTCTCCTCCTGTCTGCTTTCTTTTCTGACAGATCAGTTCTCAACATCTTCATAAAACTTTCTCTGACTATTTCAAACAAATTAGGTGTTAGCAGTAGTATATATTTAATCTCTGGATGCCCAAGCAGAATTTCACGAATAAGACCTCCTCCAGACTCTTCCCCAACACCCCGCCAGGCAGCCCGTGGCACCCTGTTTTGCACAAGCACAGCATGCACTCTGTCTGCTGGGGCTGAGCCTTTCTCTGGCTTTAGACTGGCTTCATTAACAAGCATGTTCACACTCCAACTGGAACGTTTAAAATAACACCCACACAATGTGTTTAGTGTCTAGTTAATTATTAAGTCCCTGAGCTTGAATTATTCAAGCAAAATTGATTGGGTTCAACCTTCTTCCTTCTCTTTGTGCCTTTAAAAGAAAAAAAGTAAAAAATTATCCCTTCTACTTTCTAAATAATGTGGAAAGGGTTATTTAGTCAACTTCAATACCCTAGAAAAAAATAAGAACCAAGATACATCATGTACAGGTACAAGTACCAAATGATAAATATAAATGTATTGTTTTCCTAAAATGTACCAATAAAAGAATTTAAGGAACCCTCCCCCCCAAAAAAACCCTTCAGTACCCTATACTGTGGGCGGTACCCCAATGCTAATATAATAGGTAGAGAGCGCTGGCAGCTTGACTCTTTTGTTAAAAATATATCTTGGGCTAGGAGTGAGGTTCAGTCCCCTGTACTGCAAAAACAAAACAAAACAAAAACATTCTGCATTTCATAAACTTCCATTATTAAATAGAATTTATTGAAAAGACCTAACATATTTCAGGTTCCCTTTTAAATTTCTTGATAGTTATTTATAAATTAGGTAAGTAATTATCTTAGAGCCAGTTTGTTAGTGTATGCACTTGAAAGTGCAGAAGGAATTGGTTCCTTCTTTCTTACTCATTTGATCATCTCATAGTTAAATTGTTGAAGTGTGTTGACTTCACTATGAAAAACTATGTTGTTGAAGAATATCTGTTGGCCTGAAAAGACATTTATAATACATTGGTAATTGCATACAGGAGGCTATGAAACTGTCCTTTTTAATGAAATATTTTTGTTAAAATGCATAAAAATGAATTTTAATCACCAAAATATTAGCTAGTTTAGGATGAACATTTTTCTCTTTGCTTTTTTTTGTTCCTCCTAGTGTTTACTACTTATTTTTTTTCCTTTTTACTACTTTTACAATTAGACACACACATATATAAAGATATCATGGCTGGAAATGATTGACCTTTTGCCTGAAAATGTTACTCATGTGTCAAGAACACACTGAAAATAACAGTGTACTTTTTTAAGCCAGGCAAGTGTATACTTGGCAAGTGTAGATTTTACGAAAGGGTCACAATATTTTGTGAATCACAGCAACCCAACTTCTGTTAGCTTTCATTTCAAGAAAGACCGTAGGGGAGATGGCTATTTTGAGGGGAAACAACAGAAATGCAATGACCCATTTTCATAGTATTAAGTGTGGGATCTTCCATGAGAATTTTGTAGAGTTTCCCGAAGATCAAGCTCAGAAAACCTGGGGAAGGCCCTGCTGCCCAGACTCCTGCATTGTGCCATTGGTTACAAGTGTGCTTGTGTGCAAACAAGGAGGTGTAGGTTTGATGACAGTGGTAAACTGTCTTGACTCTTTCCATCAGCTGAATCCCCGGTAGGCTGTGACCTTGGCTGAGGCTAAACAGGCAGCATCTTGAATATTTCTGGAGGAGAAAACACCAGGTTCCTCACTGGGAAACTTTTGGGAATAGAGATGAGGAATTCTCCTTTGCGCGCACACGCACACGACTTGGATGTTAGTGCAGACAGGTCTGTTATGGTTGTTGTCCTGGGAAATGACAACCAGAAGTGCTGTAATCAGACACCCAAGAATTCATGACTCGAGTGTGCCAGGACCGAATCTGGGGGCAGGTTGGGAGCGGCGAGAGGCACCGTCCCACTGGAAGCTTTGGCCCCCCCTTAGCAAACGTGCCAGACAGGTGGCGTCTCTGAGGCCGAGGAAGAAAACTCGCTTTGCCTCTGTACGTCCGAAAAACCACGAGCACCCGCGGACCGCGCAAGGCAGCAGTGGCGCAGTACCTGCCCGCGCCCGCGCTCGCGCTCGCGCTCTGCCGCAGCTCCCGGCCCGGCCGGCTCACCCGCCTCCACGCGCTCGCCACCCTGGCCTCTCCAGTCCTCCCGTATCCCTGCATTCCGCGCTGCGCCAGCCGCAGCGCCGCGACTGGAGTCTGCCCGCACTCCACCCCTCCCCTCAGGCCCGGGCCGCAGCTCCCACCCACTCGGGGGCCTCGCTCGGCTCGGCTAGGCAGCGGGACACCGCCCGGCGCGCCCCTGGCTTCTGCGCGAGCTGGGCGGGCGGGCAGGCGGGGGTGGGAGAGGGGGCGTGAGCGCGCGGGCGGGTGGCGGGGGGGCGCGCCACGGGGCCGCCATATTGGATCCGTAGCGCCCGCGAGCCTCCGCCTGCGTGCGGCGCCGATTTGAGCGGCCTCGCAGAGTCCAAGGCGCGAGCGCGAGAGGCGCGGGGAGGCGGGGGAGGCTGGGAGGGAGAGGAAGGGAGTGGTTGGAGCCGGCTGCGGCAGCCTCTGGTCTCCACACCGGCGGCACGGACCCCTCCTCTTGCACCTCAGCCGCCTCCCTCCTGTCCAGGGAAAGATGCCCTTAACCCAGGGGTGTGAAGAAGGGGGAGAAGTAGCTGCCCGTGCCGCCGCCGCAGCTGCTGAGGACCGTGTCCTTTGAATCCACCAGAGCACACCCCCCCCCTCGACAGCGGGCGTCGGGAGCCTCGGGTGCGGCGGCCGCGGTACGGGTGTGGGGAGACCGCGCTCTCCGCCCGGCGCGGCGCGGCCCACGAGTGACCACCGCCATGGAGCGCGCTCGGGCGGCCCAGTAGCCGCTGCTCCCGGAGCCCGGGTGCCGCGCCTCCCGCAGCCACCTTCCCACCCTCGACCGCGCTGCCGGTCAGGCCCCTGGGAGAAGCCGGGAGGAAAATGAAGAGTTTCCATCGGAATCCATTGGAAATAGGACTCACTGCAAAGCCTTGAAAAGAAAGACCTCGGGAGCAGAAGGAAAAGCCTCCTCCGGGCAAGACTTGGCGTGCTCTGAGCTAAGGAGAAGCTGCTTCAAGGACCTCGCCCCCTCCCTTTCCCGCTGGAGAAATTGCCGTTGATGCATTATCCAAGTGGTGGTTGGGAGGATTTGCAGCAGAATTTTTGGTTTTCCCTCCCCCTCCTATTCATGCTGTTTTTTTCCTCTCTTTTCTATTTTCCTTCTTCCCGGGAAGTGAATTGCGGATGCAAAGGGGACTTTACTCATTAATGATGCAACCGGATTCGTTTCAGGATTTTGTTGCACGAGTTGAATTTTGAATGAAGGAGAAGAGTTTTTTTTTTTTATTAACACAATGTCACATTTTATACTTTTAATTATTTTATTTAAATATACAATTGTATTATTTTAAGATGTATTAAATATATATATATTTTATGGTAACTTGCCCTCAAGATATATGTATATGGGTGAAATTGAAGACGCTTCATTTAAGTGAGGTTACTGGTGTTTTGGATGTTTAATTCAGCACCGGTATTGCATGACAGTTGTTGGAATAACAAGTGGTTTATTTTTAAAACCACATCTTTTAAAATTTAGGTTCAGATAGTTACAGTAAAAGTTGTAATAGTTTAAAAGAAAGCCAGCAGAAATCGAAGCAAACATGTCCGGAGAAGTGCGTTTGAGGCAGTTGGAGCAGTTTATTTTGGATGGGCCGGCTCAGACCAATGGGCAGTGCTTCAGTGTGGAGACCTTACTGGATATACTCATCTGTCTTTATGATGAATGCAATAATTCTCCATTGAGAAGAGAGAAGAACATTCTTGAATACCTAGAATGGGGTAAGTTTGTATTTTTTTTAACTCGTAATCTTTAGCTGGACGTTATGATTTAGTAGTTACAGACTTATGAGCAGACTCTAATAAAAAAATATGTATTTAAATAAAAGGACATCAACTATTTTAAGACCCCCCCCCCATAGTTTTTGATACATACTTTCCCAGGAGTAAAATCACACTACTCAGTTGTTGCCTTTATGTGAAGGCCTAGCTATTGTGCAATTTTTGATAAAGAACTTGTTTTTAGGTCAGCAGTAAGAGATTTAAAGTAAATTCTGGGATAGGTTAAATGGATCATTGCTCACAGTTGTCTAATCCGTAGCAATATGACAGCCATTCAATGAAAGGTGTTTGTTGGTGGAAACATTCTTTCCTAGACTTGGGAAATCAGTCTTGAAATGGGAGGAGATCCTGAAATATCTGTGTTTATCTTGGGCAGCAGGATCTTGAAGGCAGTGATCAGTGGGTTTTATTTCATCTCTGTATAGGACAAAGGAAATTGCTAAAAAATGGACCTTTCAAAAATTGTTACGTTCCTAAAATGAAATGACATAAATAAAAATACTCTGACAGTAGTTGATCGGGAATGTTTAGGAGAAGCTCCTGCCTAAACGTCAGGTTTTCTTTTAAATCGAATTTCAGTCTAAACTGGGTAGATTTTTGGTTCAGTCTTCTAAATGTAGATGTGATTAAGAAGACCTATGGTAGTGGAAAGATCAGTGATAAGAGCAAAAGCTCTTCGTGACTTTCAAGCTTGAAGGCTTGGTTGAAGTTCTTCAGTCCCTGATGTTGTCCACAGGCTCAGCATGACGTCCAGGGGCTCACTTTATCTCCCAGACCTATAGTGAACATTGACTTCTGAAGGATTTTGGCCAATTGCATGTAGTATGTTGTAACTCTAGAATACCAGTAATTTTAATTTGTTGTAAAGTTTGTAGCCTTTATCTTTGTTCCTAGGTAAAGGTTTTCTGCAGTGAAAAATGAAGTGCTGATACATATATTTTTCTTTTTTTTTTAAATTTGAAGTTTATTTCGAATTAGTTTCTCAGGTCAATCACTGATGCAAAAATATACATAATAGTTTTATTTATCCTAGTTGCAAGTAGTAGGTTTCTAGAAACATGATGTCATGACGTTTTAAGAGATATGTAAATGTGAATGGAATGATTTTTAAAAAACAGACTATTACAGTTGTACTGGGAATGTAAGAAATCTGAGCCATTTTTCAGGAAATTTCTCTCCCAAGACAGTTTTGACTTTGTTACTGGCTTTGTTGGAATGTTTTTTTAATGTGTAAAATATTTTATAAAGCATATGTAGTTTTACATTCTATGTTTCATGAATTTAGAAGCTCTGTAGTGTTTTCTTTGACGATTAAAGAGGGTTTGGTACTTTTAGAATTGAGGTTTGAATTTTTTGATTATGGTTTCATAGTCTGATTGTCTTTTAATATCCTTTCTTACTTGCAAAATACTAAGAGACCTTTTTTTAAATGTACCACTGGTAAATATAATTTTAAGTAATTTATGATAAAATACAAATCCATATCCTTCATTGACTTGTGGTTGAGTTTATGTAATTTATGCTATATTTTGCTGTATTGTTAGAATAATTTGTTTTTCCATTAAGTGTATTTTCCAGAATGTTGTTTCTTCTATCTGTATAAAAACACTTTGTTCACATATATGTTTACTTAAGCCAGAAAGGCAAAAAATTACTTGGCCAAGTACATTATATTTTTATTAATATATTAGTATGTTAATATATTTAAAATAATTTAATAGCTGGGTGCAGTGGTACAGCCTGTAATCCCAGCACCTACAGAGGCTGAGGCAGGAGGATTGCAAGTTCAAGTTCCACCTGGGCAATTTAGTGAAACTCTGTCTCAAAATAAAAAATAAAAAAGGGCAGAGGATATAGTTCAGTTGTAGAGCAATACAGATAAATATTTCTCAATACTGATAATTGAGATAGAGATACAGATATATATATATTTCTAAATAATTTAAGACCGGATCCTGGTGTGGTGGCCCATGCTTGTAATCCCAGCACTTGGGAGGCTGAGGCAGGAGGAGCGGCTCCAAGTTTGATGCCAGCCAGGGCTACATGGTAAGTTCAAGGCCAGCCTGGACTACATAGCAAGACCCTGTTTTTCTCAGAAAAACATAAAACAAAACAAAAGACCAGGGATTTGTCACAGTTGAGGAGTAAAGTTTTTAGTGGTACCCTTCACATTTTGTGTTTTTAGAAGTCTGATACTGTATGTGGCACGACAAACTGTTTTTCAGTGTTTGGAGAACAAGAGAATGGAATTTTTAAGGAATTAATTTGTATACTTTAGGTCTGGGGAGGGGTTTGTTAAGGCTCAAGTTTTTCTTTTCTTCCTTTTTGGCAGTACTGGAAATGGAACCCAGGGCCTTGCACATGTTAGGCAGTGCTGTACTGCTGATCTATGCAAACAGGCCCCCCCCCCCCCCCCCCCGCATCTGTCCGTCCTTCAGGTGTTTTTAAGATGGAGTATGAGGTCTTGAATATGGGGTTTATCAATCACAGAAGTTTGAGTAAAGCATAAGAAAAGAAAGTTAAGAATGAAAAAGCTAAGATGTATCATAAGTAGTAATGCTTACTATCTCTGGAGGAATTTAGGTTAAGAATAATTATCTTTTCATTTAAGTATTGAAATAGATTTTCTGTTCTTCATGTGTGAATTGACTACTGCATTTTGGAGAAATGTTCTATTTTATTCTCATTGCCTAATGTTATATAAAAGACAATTTAGGTTAAAGAAGTTTCTGAGTTGTGAATTGACCTCAGTTTAATTTTTTAAAACTTTTGGGGCGGGGGGAGTGTCCTGTGATAGAAATTTACCAGAATTATTGTTAGGTTTAATTTGATAATTTAGATTTGCCTTAACAGATACCATTTTTAGTTTGGTTTTATTATTCACGAAATATTGAGTCTTTAAGCATTTAAAAGACCCAGTAATTGCAACAGGAGAGCAGGATAGTTAAGTTTATTACACTATATATGTAATATTTGTTTTTATATTTATAATTATGAAAGTGTCATCTAGATACTCATTTTTATGCTGTTGATAGGTTTCTCTTAAAAATGGAGTCAACTGAGATTCTGTCTGTATTGCTTCATTTCCATCAAATTCATTTTATTCCTTGTTATGATGTTTCACTTTTATATTGGTATTGTTAGTATTTTGTTCATGACATTATCATGACAGTAAGAAAACTGATCAAAGTCAAATATGTTATTTTTCTTTGACTCATTCCTTGCTTTTGTGCTGATGGTTTGAGGGAGGAAATAAATAAAGAAGGAGAGAGGTAAGAGGTGGGAATTAAGCCAGGGAGCACTAGCCCAAGGGGGAAATACACCTTAATATCATTGAACACATTTAAATTTAATAATATGTATTGTTTTCCAATTATAGCCAGTAAGATTTGAAAGACTATGTTTTTGTCTTCTTTGTTTTTAAAATTGTTAAAATGATTATGGTGTATGTTTGTTTATAAGTAGTAGTTTTACTGTTAGCATAATTTTAGAATATGTTACAGTTGTAGAAGTAAAAACAGCTTTTACATTATGAACTAACTTGCTGGTGGGTTAAATATTGACTGAATTGGCTGTTCCTTTGAATTGAGAAGTTGGAATTTTAGGGAATTCTTTGCCAATTTACTTTAAAAAAAATCTGTAATATTGCTCAGTATGAAAGAAATTTGCAAGGCTGTGTATCTGTGGATAACTTTTTTGATGCTTTCTGAACTTGACTTTGTAATACTTAGTAAGTTAAATTAATGAATTTTATAGCTTACTCAAATTTTATGCATGTTATACCCAGAGAATAGTATGATTAATAAAGCTGTTTTTAGGAAACATCGGCAGATACTGTGATATAAACTTTTCCTTTTATTAGAGTAGTTTTTTAAAGCTTATTCACATTTTTTTCATGGGTGGGTTAATTAAGGTGATGATGGTTGATCTGAGTATTTTTTTAGGAAACTTTGTTTTTTTCATCTGTTGCTCCTTACTGTTAGCTTTGCCTGAGTAGGATTTATTAATCATACTAATTTATCAAAATGTTCATTGAATACAGATGATTACATATATTTTCATGTAAGCTCTCAATTAGGATCACCATAAATGTCTTTAGAAATATAGGTTGGGCATTTAATTTCTTTTGACTAGTAACTTGGTATTCTGTTAAATAGTTATTTTATCTAACAGTGCTAGCACATGGTAGGAGCATGTTCAAAAGTGATTATTATTATTTCATTTCTTTCTCTTCCATTTCTCTCAGGTTATACTTAGAGGTTGTTGCCAAATGGTACCGGTTATTGCAAAAGCTACAGAGATTGATTAGTAATTGTTTTGAAGAACAACAGTTAAAAAAAATATATTGGTTTATAGCCAGTCATGGTGGCTGAGGCAGTGGGATTGCAAGTAGAGTCCAGCCTGGGTGACTTAAGTGATTTAGCAAGAACCTGCCTCAGAAAATTAAAAAAAAAAGAGTTGGGGATGTAACTCAGTGCAAAGTCCTTGGTTTCAGTCCCCAGTATCCCTCCCATTGCTGTATGAGTGTGAAAAGGATGTTAGGATTAACACTTAAAGAATTTTAAAAATATAATTATTTTGTATGGAAATTTAAGACATACTTTACCACAGCAGTGTAAAAATACCATAATATTTTAGAAATTTTATGAAATATCCTGTAAATCTTAGGACTTGATTACCATTACACAGTGAGCCCAGGCTGTTTTATGGTAAAAGAACTGAAATTGGCATAATAAATATCGTACTATTCCATGGCAGTCAAACAGTCTTTTCCAAAACTTTTTCCCATATGGTACTTATTGTCAGTATGTTGTGTATTAAGCTCATTGTTTTCCATCCTGGTGATTGTGGTAAGTTTTTAAATCAGTTTTCGTTTAACTAGCATTTAAAGAATTACATAGATCATAATATAAAATATTGAGCTCATATATAGAAAGAAT